ATAATGTGTTCCCATAACAAGTGTTGAAATCAGCAGAAATCAGCCCTCCGCCCTACACGTAATCACATCACGTTCGAGAAAATTGTTCCGCTTCCTGATTGTTAATTGGGATTTGCAAAGCGAGTAGTTCTCGCATAACTAAAGTAACCATACGTAAAAAACGTAGTGTCTTTGTAATAAAAAGGTTCGGCTATTAGTAAAACACGGAGCACGGAGCACACGGAGCACGGAGCACGGAGTACGGAGCACACGGAGCACGGAGCACACGGAGCACGGAGCACACGAACTACGGAGCAGTAGAAAAACGAAAATCCTTTATAATAAAATACACTGTTTACTACAAATTTTTATTACAAATTTTTGTTCTTATTAATAAAGTTTTTCGCGTTTTACACGTTGAGGAAGTAGAAAAATGGGGCTTTTACTGCACATATGATGCAAAACTGCCAAAAGCCATAGTATTTAAAATAGGATTGTGCCTGTGAAACTCGTCACATATCTATCAAGCTTATGAGTTATGTAGTTATATCAGTATATTCCGATAGCCAACGCATTAAGAAACACTTAGAGAACAGCCGATATATTTCGTTACCCCTGCCAAAAAATAGCCAAGTACTCATCTTTCAATGTAGCGGATCGACTGAACATTATAAAAGCTTGTCATGGAGAGAAGTGAATTTTCGATTTATCCTTCGTCCCATGCAGTGACCAGTGAGCAGTGTGCTGTACGGCCTACGCCGGTTTAAACCGTTATACATAATTACTGCTTTCATTCTTTCAATCCGTTTTGAATATTCGGAATCATTCACTATTATATTATAAAACTGTATAAGATAGCTGTAGAACTATAAACGCTGTAGACAGTGTAGAATAAAATAAATAAAGAAAACTACGTTTTATCGCGGTATTTGCCGATAAATCGGTAACCGCTACAAAAAAACAGAACAAATTACAGTAAATCACAACAAACCGCGGAAGTGGGACAATTTTTGTATTTTTACTGTAAGACATGCAGAACATGTACGAATCCATACAGAAGTGTGTGTGTATTCTATACTTTTGAAACAACTAAATCAGACTTCGGAAAATTTGACAGTATTAAGTCTATTAAAGCTACTTTTGAGAATTTAGATTTTAGGTCTTTGTTTTACATGTACCCAGTACTGAAATATTTTTGAGTTTTGAACTTTGATTCTCACAAGCTTACAATTTGTTTGAGTTGATCGGAATTGTCAGAGTTGATCGGAATTGTAACAAATACGCGTACACTTAAGGTGGCTCCCTACAGTTATTCTGGTTTAAGCAATAATTCCGTAAAACAGGCTTATTCGTGCAGAACGAAAATTCTTTTCGACTTGGTGGCAATATTGGTCACCTAAGGAATATTTCGAACTAGATTTCGACGATGTCAATGTTGCCATGGCAACATGACGACAGCATAAAGCCTTCCAATTTAACCCATAAATGTGCCGCTATCTCAAAAACGATGTCGGTGACCTATCTTTTTTATTTCATATATCAACAAGGAATGATGCTCTGCAACTGTGGTGAAAGTTTAAAACAATTCTGTAGTGTGTGTTTTTTTTAAAAGCGAAAAATTTATTGCGAAATTTCCACACTACAGATTTTTTTAAAATTTGAAATTTATAAAATTTACCGCAAAATAAATTCGTGGTCAAAATTTGAAGATAGGTCACCGATGAAACTAATGAGTAAAATGCAAATAAAGTTAGAAAATAGCCTCGTGTAACTCGAGAAATTCCCCTGTTGAAAAGCGTCGCTGACTAGTAAAAGATTGTACGCGGGCGCAGAACGAGTTTTCATTCATCAAAATCGAGCCGCAATGTTGTTTTTACTGTTTTGTTTTTGTCAACTTTTCGATTTATTTGAGTGCCATGGACAGCCAAGGATTATTGTGAAGGTTTAAATCGATGAAAACAAGGTTGAAGCTAATTGAATCCTGCCGTTTACTCAATCTATGAGCTGTAACAGCCTATTAACAGGTGGACGTGTTTTTTTGTTTCATGTTTGGTTTTGTACTTTTTGCTAAAAATGAACAATTAGGCTATGAAACTGAAATATTTTTCTGTTTACATATAATCACTTTAATCTTGTAGAAACACGACTAAAAACGTGAACGTTTTCTTGAGAAGTAAACAACTTTTTAAACGTTTCTATTCTATCTAGTTGAGTCAGTTGACAGTGTATAAAAATATTAAAAAAATATTGTTTCGTAGCTATTTTTTGGTCTAGTGACACTCGTATCATATGTAGAATTGCTGTATAGACTCGCAAGTGATTTGGCACTCAAAACGAAGTATTATTCAACGCTTTTTTCCATTAGAAACCTTTCAGAAATAGCTTTATTTTTCAAAAAAGCATGGTCAATTTTTGTTTTGTTTTGATGATGCAGTTGCGTGGGATAGTTCTCGCACTTGTCCCGCGAACATCCCGCACGGAACTGTAGGGAGCCTCCTTAAGGTGGCTCCCTATAGTTAGTACAGTTTAAATACGATTTATATAGATCAGACTTCATCCTCGCGATCTGCGCGTGGAATCGTCGTGTTTACTGTTCGGCAAAAATATTGAAACAAGCCGTGGGAAGTTTTTTGGCGTTTTTATCTACAAAGAAAGCCCCAGTTTTTCATAATAATCCTAATTTTTTCTGAATTCGAACAGTACGTATGTTATTAACTAGTTTAACCTATCTTTTAGTGTGTTTTTACGTATTTACGTTCAGTACTGTCTTTCATATTGCTCAAAATTTTCAACTTGTTGTTTTGCGAGCTGTCAAACTGAAATGACACTGTCTTCTATTAACTCTTGAACAGTAGTGAACTGTTGCCGAAACTTATATAAGTTCTGTCAATCAATTCAATTTACAGGTATCGTTTTATCTGTTAAATCAAATAAAACAGTTATGAGTTGTTTTATATGAAAAGTTAAACTTGTAGTTCGATGTTTTGAAAAGTTTTCGCACCGACTTTAACAACAAAAACAAATGTAAACTAACACTGGATTTAATACAATGCCTATAATAGTGTTTTTTATTAGTATTTTCAAGATTAATATTTTATTTTCATGTCAAACAAGTCAGAAATATCTGTTTTCTTATGTATTGTAAGCCAAAAAGTTGAAATCACTATAAATCACACGCTACAATTTACACACATGCGCAGATCGTGCTCATGTCGAGTCGATTTTTTCCACGCCGATTTTAGCGATGATTTTCTCGTGTTTTCTTCCGTGAAATTTTTTTAAACTTTGTATTTTTGTTATAAAAGACAAGTGGTACAACATATCCAAATTTTAAGAAATTCTACAAATAACTTTTTCTGTAACCGTCATTCACGAATATCTCGAAAACTTATTTATAAATTCCCTTCAAATTTTGATGTTTTTCCTTTATGGACCATAAATCTTCAAAAAAAATTTCAGAAAAATTCACCGAAGGAAAATATAGATATTGTCAATTTATTGTGAAATTAAACAATAAAAGTGCAAAAGATTACACGTCATGGTTGCCATGGCAACACAAACACTGTTTTAATTTGTTCATAAATGGACAGCACACAGCTTCTGAACTTTCCTGGAAATGATCATATTGCCTTGTCTTAAGTGTATCTAATATAAATTCGGTTCAAAGCGAACGATACTCAAAATACCTAGAATTTTGGAGAACTGTAGGGAGCCACCTTAAGCAAGTGACGTTTTTGACAACACGGACGTCGACCGGAAGTAAAGTTGACGTTTTTCACCAATCACAGCCCTTGACCCAGTCTTCTGACGTTACTCATGCCGTTCGTGTTGTCAAAAACGTCACTTGCTTAAGCTCACTAGTATCCGGTTAAGCACCAACCTCGTTCCCAGGCTCTTACCTCTTGTGGAGGAAAGACCCTGGTAGGAGCTGGTCACGTGATCTCCTAAAATCTAGCAGATTTCTAGTGAACTATCTTGGATTCCTTTTAAAATCAAATCAAACTTGGTCAAATTACACATCACAATTACACTACACAAAAATGGTCAAATTACTAATCAGTCACACTATGAGTTCGAGTACTGAAAATGGTTCAACTGACCAGTGACCACAGAGCATAGACATCTTATATACACTAGATATTGCATCTAATTATTCTGCAATTCAAAAATTGAAGCCGTGATTGCAGACTCAGGATATTGCCATGAAATGAGAAGACTCGTATGTTTTCTATTTCTTAAACAGGGAACTTAAACAGTTAAATCTATTCCAAAAACATTTTTAAACTATTCAAATGATGAAAGTTATTGTTTTTTAAGCGTTTATTAACGAGTGGGAACTACCAACATGGCCGCCATCAATTCAAGTGGGGGTAACCGCTGGAATGTTCTTGGCTTCAATTTTACTAAAAGAGATGCGCTATCTAGTGTATATAAGATATCTATGCCACAGAGCAAAGAGTTTTTATTGTGTTAAATTATACGCTCAAAGTACATGCATAAAATTCGATTCAATTGTATTTATACGCATCCATAGGTTCAGCATACAGGGTCTCCAAAAAAAATCCCCCTTTAGAAATCACTCTTGTGCGTTATCATACCTTTGTGAATTGAATTGAATTGTACATGAACGGCAGGCCTTAAAATATCTTTTACAGGGCCGTCTGACAAAATGTCCGATGACGTTGAGTTTGGGTCGGACATATGTCCGATGACCTTCAGTTCAGTTTTGACTCGGAAATAAGTCTGAATGCCACAAATGAATATCAGCACAATGTATTAATTCTGTACTGTAAATGTTGTAAAGATATTAAATAATTTGTTTCTTTCATACTTATTTCCAAGCCAAAAATCAAAATTGACTTGCTTTCCAGCCTGAGCAGTATTAAAAAAGACTTGACAACTCATATAAGCCCGTTTTCCACTTCACCATTTCGCTTGCCGCTCGACTACGTTAAAACAACATTTCCAGTTCACCTTTTATACAATAGTACTCTGATTTTCCATTTAACATACAAGCCTGTATTCTTGGGCTAGGGTACATTTTGATTTACGTTGGACAAAGCTACAGTTCGGTCCGACACTATACACAAATACACTCGGGTCGGGCAAACAATAAACCTCAGTTTCACTTAGGTCGGACAGAATGTCCGGTGGTTTCCTCCCTACGTCGGACAATTTCACGAATGGGTTGGACAATGTCCGTGACCGACCGATATTTTAAGGCCTGAAATTGAACGGCAGAAGTATTTACAACCTCCAGCTTCGTCCAAACACTTCAGTTACACTTTGCGTTAACGTATAAGTTGTTACGACAAATACTCGATGCTCTGTAGTCATTTGAACCATGTCGAACTGACGGTAAGACGAATTGCAATTTGACATTTTTGTGTTGCTGTTCGTTTTAGAAGCTATTTTAAATTCCCAGAAGTATAACAACGTACGTTTAACAACAAAAGAATGATTTCTAGAGGGGGACTTTTTGGGGGAACACCCTGTAGTGCTCAGATATTCAAGTTATAACAAGGTTAAATCTAAAGGTGTCCTTTTTTGAGACACCCTGTAGTACATTTAAAACGTGTTCGAGGAGTGGGGGGCGTATCGTTCATCGCCAATACACCCTTTCGATAATTACGTCACACATACTTTTTGGTCCTGGAGCCTCGCTCTCATCAGTAAATTACGCAAGGTGATTGGCTCATGATTCATGAGAGCGAGGCTCACACATAGATATCTTATATACACTAGATAGTCCATCTAATTATTCTACAATTCAAAAATTGAAGCCGTGATTGCAGACTCAGGATATTCCCATGA